TATAACTGATCAGTTGACTTTTACTAGCGGACAACAAAGAATCTACATCATAAGATGGTCAATACAGCCAGCTATTCGACATCCAGAGCATGTTCTTTCTTCATACCTTGGAATTCCAGCGCTGAGTTGCCCAAGCCTGCTGTATTGTCCGTCATGTTTAGTTTACGAGAGATCCTTACTTCAAAATTTGGACGATATCTTTTACTTCGTTTTATTCTAATCTAAGCACAGTGATACTGACCACTAATTTGCTAACGGAAGTCAGAGTAAACGTTTTATCCATCCGTTTATCTAGCAATCTGCTGAATCAAAGTTAGAGGGGTTGGACAGTCAGCTGCAACGGTTAAAGAACCTCACCGACGATCTCCAAAGACAACTGAACGACCTAAACGCCACCAAGGCAAGGCTTACTTCAGAAAATTTTGAATTACTTCATGCTAACCAAGAATACGAAGCACAAGTTCTCAATTTGTCCAAGGCAAAGTCTTCGTTAGAGAGCGTTGCCGACGATCTCAAGCGTTCCTTAGATGACGAGGCCAAGGTGAGTTTAGGGTTTTAAGCTCAGTGATTGGATTTTCTTATCGAGATGGATGATAGGATATTCTTTTAAGCCTTTGAAATTGGAATGAACCGCATTTGTCGTGCGGTCATACTTTAAGTGTTCTAAACCGTTACTCCCCTGATGCATTAGATCGATTTATTGGAATATCATTTCTTGTAGGCAGAGAGTAATAAGAGTTGAGTCAGCTTGTAGCCGCTACACAGGTGGCTTTTTCCTTTCCAACAACGCCAACACTGGCAATATGGAATAAACCATTTTAGGAAGCGGTTAATCCATAAACTTATTTACGAACTCTGTTTTACAATTGACCTTTAGACTCGATTCAACTTGCAATCCCAACTCGCCTCTCTCCAAGTGGATTACGACAACTTGCAAGCCAAATACGAGGAGGAGAGCGAAGAGGCTAGTAACTTGCGAAATCAAATCTCGAAGTTCAACACAGATATGGCAGCCCTAAAGTCCAAATTTGAGCGTGAGCTGATGACCAAGACAGAGGAATATGAAGAGTTGAAGTGAGTTCCAAATGACATCTCTACTGTCATGGCGTATAGCTCTCAACCTTGTGGTGCAGAAAAATGTCTAAGGTACACTAGAAACGGGCAGTTTGTTCAGTCTGGCCATATGTGCTTGTTCATGCTGCCTTGCAATGCATCTTGTAATGGCTCTTGATGCGCCTGAAGATGAATTTGTGTGTCTGGACAGTCTTTGTGTCGTTAGTATACAATACAGCTCAGAGAAAGAACGAACGAGGTTGTTATTACATGTCAAAGCTGCAGTCCATAATTTACTATCCATGCAGACACTGTGAGCATACATTGCCGAGCCAGCATTATTTGTGCCACAAAGGTATATCAAAATGAACACCAGAGTAAAATCCGCTGCTTTATAGCAAAAGGCAGCCTCGGAGTACCGGCCATGGTACGATTTGTCGCAGCAATTATTATACATCCATTGCTTAAACGATGCAGTTATCCGCTGTGTGCATTTCATAAAGACACCAGATTGGGCGGTTGGTTTTATTGTATGCTGGAAAAGTATCTAAGCAATATACGCGAAAACCGTCGAGTTGCTGCTTGATGTTTGGCGAAACTTGAATAACGAGATCTCCGGTTACTTTTTAGACGGAAGATGACAGCTCGCATCAATGAGTTAGAGGACACTGCGGAACGTGAACGGGCTCGTGCTTCTAATCTGGAAAAAATTAAGACTAAGCTGACCATGGAGATCAAGGATTTGCAAAATGAAGTTGATAGCGTGAGTTTATTCATGGTTAACACAAACGTCAACATTCTCGTGTGGTACAATGTAAGCCTGAACTGGTTATCCATGTGCTAAATCGAAAGCACTGTGCTTTTGTGTAAGGTAAAGCTCAATGACCAGTGGTACTTGTAGTGACCTCCGCAATTTTTATGCTGCCATAACCATTTTCTACCGGGTTTGGAAAAAGTTGTTACTTTCATTACAGACTCCTCTGAGTTGGGTTTTATTTCCCCTCTTGACCGGTAGCAAGAACTGTATTGTTTAACGTACGAAATAGCCATGGAAAACAGTTCAGCTAATACTCACGACTGGTCAGCGCTTAGAGACCTCAAAATAACAGCTATGATGACCCTTATCACTAGACTTCACCACTATGACGATGTAGTATGCAGTGAAGCACACGATACCAACGCCTGCTGAAACACCACCAATCAGTGGTCGACCGGGGTCTCGAATGTTTCGTGGAACTACGTGTACAGCCAACATTTCACAAGAGATAGGCTTGTGATTTCTGTTGAACAACCGGAACGGTGGTGTGGACAATCCGCTAGCGTCATTCTTCGGGGACGCTAGCTGGTTGAGTACGTCTGGCGTTCCAGTTACCAGGTGGCGTTTAGGAACTGCTTTGCATCTGTGGCAAGAGTCGAACTGTATTGCTAGTAAGTTCAAATACACTCGTTGGGTATCCGTTCATACTGTTTCACATACTACTGACAACACCTGAAAATCGTGGCCGAAAATTTAGTACGTGGAATGCGAAAACTGTGTCTGTGATAGGCTAGTTTTCAATGGCTACTGATGTCGGCTTTAGCTTGACCAGTCATGTTGTTCAGCTGTTCTGTGTATAACCGCGATTTCAGAGATAAAAGGAATTCCTCTCAAGAAAACTCATTACCGAGCCCCTCACACATAAAGTTTGACAGTGCGTTTTGCACAATAAGCCTTAAAACTGCATAGCACTAGAAGGGCTGGTAGTACTCACTTCGAGCACCACTTCCACGAACTGTCTTACTCCTGGTTTGTGCACCTTTATTTGAGTAGCAATTCGGGAATATCGTACCCACTAAATCGGACTGAAAGCACTGCTTGTAGCTTCGGTTCGGAATGCACAGGGGCCCGGTAGAGCTTGATTAAATTACGATCGCACAGGAATAGTAGGGGAGTTGAATGGTATAGGTAGAAATCCGTCACATCTTGACTCACTCAGACAGCCACCACACGCCCGGAAAAGCACTGTACGCGTGTTTCATCCTTTCGGGAATCGTCAGCAGTACGCATTCCATCGGACCCTGGTAGGGCTCGAACCCGCAACTCGACTGTAACCAGTCCGTGGTTGAGAGCACTGAGCTACGGAGGACGGCAATGACCATCGTGAGTAACTTACTAGATGTGATATAGCGTTGCTCACCAGGTTAATTGGCGGCTTAAGTTTGGTAAGTTCGTCGCTTTGTGAGGGGACTACCCTGTCCCCTGCACGGCAGTAACGTGCAAGTCCTTGGATAGTGAGCGGCGCTATATTACATCTAATAACTTATTCACGATGGTCGTTGCCGTCCCCCGTAGCTCAGTGGTCTCAACCACGGACTGGCAACAGTCGAGTTGCTGGTTCGAGCCATAGCAGGGTCCGATGGAATGCGCACTGTTGACGGTTCCCGAAAGGATGAACCACGCGTACAGTGCTTTTCCGGGCGTATGATGGCTGTCTGAGTGAGTCTAGATGTGACGTTTATCTACCTATACCATAAATTACGGTCAGAGAGACCGCCATGTATCCTTACCTGCTGCTGCGTTCCAGTCAGCCAGGGCACCAGTGTCAAAGCATTTCAAGCAATTCAACCAAATGGTAGCCTTGTGTGATCAAGTTCATAATATGGGGAATACTTAACCTACTCTACGTGCTTAGATGTCTTATAATTACTTATCTAGCCGGTGGACCTTGGCTAGGTGGCAGCCTTCAGTCGCGGCCATTATAATGCACGTTCCAATGATAACCGCTTCTTTTTTCTAGCTTTCTGCGGAGAACGCTGAACTTGCTCGTCGAGCCAAGGCAGCCGAGACATTGGCGAATGATTTGCAGCGCCGCGTTGATGAGCTCACCGTGGAAATTAATAATCTGCATTCTCAGAACAGCCAGCTTGAATCGGAGAACATGCGGCTCAAAAGTCAGGTAAATGATCTGCTGGACAAGAACGCAGCTTTGGACCGCGAAAACCGTCAACTTGTGGGTAAGAACCACGGGCTTCGTGAAGTCCGACTTTTCTACTTATCTGCTGCATGTATACTGCAACACATATCAACCCGTTTAGCCAGCCCGTCTCTCAATGAATATGTAGTCGCTTAGAGTCAACGAAACGTCCGGCCTTACTATCGTGGAAACATTGAGATCCCTCATGTTTCTCTTCCACCTATTTATAGATCAAGTTAAAGAGCTTAAAACCACCCTCCGTGATGCAAATCGTAGACTGACTGACTTGGAAGCACTTCGGTCTCAGCTAGAAGCAGAGAGAGACAATCTTGCTTCTGCTCTGCACGATGCCGAGGAGGCCTTACGAGACATGGACCAAAAATACCAAGCCGCACAGTCCGCATTAAATCACTTGAAGTCGGAAATGGAACAGCGGCTGCGTGAAAAGGACGACGAACTTGAAAACCTACGGTAATCTCTTTGACATTTTCTGATTATCTGGATAAGAACTAACATATATTTACTAAAAAGTAATTTACCACGAAAATAAAATCACCAGTTTCGATTGTGCTCATTAAAAACACAGTAGGTCATCTCTGTAAAACTGTTGTGCTCTTGCCCCCTGGAATTTTTCATCTTGCAATATGTGTGCATCCCGCTTAACCGATCTTTTTTCCGAAACATGGTAGCAAGTCCACCACTCGTACCATCGAGGAGCTAACGGTCACGATCACGGAGATGGAAGTGAAATACAAGTCAGAGATTTCACGCCTCAAAAAGCGATATGAATCCAACATTGCAGAGTTGGAGCTGCAACTGGACACAGCCAATAAGGCAAATGCTAATCTTATGAAAGAAAACAAGGGTCTGGCCCAAAGAGTAAAGGATTTGGAGATGATTCTCGAAGAGGAGCGCAGAGCACGTGAAGCAGCTGAATCAAATCTGCAGGTAATTTCTCACTGCTTAGTGCATTTCTCCATGACGTTTCATGGGTCTTATCGGCTCACTGATTGTGTCTTACCGAGGTGCCTTCCCAGGGCTGTTATTCCCATGCGAAAGGATTTATTAGTGATTTCAGAGTACTACCTTAAAATACCTAGGAGTTCAAAGTTGGACTTGGAGAACCCGCTGTGTATTTGGGTTGCTACGAACAACCTCTATTGAGACCTCGGTTCACTTGTGGTGGACCTCGGTCATTCCGATCACAAGGATTGAATGTGAATGGAAATATTTTGGTGTTGCACATCCCAACACTGGCACCTAGGAGTTGTGTAAAATTGTAGTGCTCGGTGGCCTATACAATAATAATAACAAAAATGAGCACCTTTTTAAGGTGTTTCGCTTTGGTTTACAATTATTAGGCCAGTGAGCGCAAACGGATTCAGTTGGCCAGTGAAACTGAGGAGTTGCGCGGTGCGCTTGAAAATGCAGATCGGGCAAGAAAACACGCGGAGAATGAGATGACCGAAGCACAAACCCGCGTGAGCGAGCTGACAATGCAAGTGAACACTCTGAGCAACGACAAGCGTCGGTTGGAGGGCGATATTGGTGTGATGCAAGCGGATATGGATGAAGCGGTGAATGCGAAGCAGGTAAGAAAACCCACCCCCGCTCAGCTGTCAGCTAGCTCCATCTTTAGTGTTTGGCCTTTTGGGCCTTCAGAATCAGCAAGACACGTGTCTTGTCCCGCTAAATTAGATGCGTTCAGCCCCTACTTTTTGGGCTGAGAAAGATTATTTTTTGAGCATTATCTTCAACTATTTAACGATTTGATCAGGGCATCTAAGTTATAACCCCAATCTACCTGATTCTAGTCGTTGCCTCCCACTCAATTTTGAGCACCTTTGAAAGATCCCACCCGCTGTCCAATATATTACCCTTTTACAGCATCAAAATCTCAGTACCAAGTACCAGATTATTGTCGCCACTTTCCAGCTCTCTTTATCTTATTAGTTTGCTTTCAGTCCAAAAGCTGGACAACCTCAAGCACCGAAAACTATCAGCCATAACCAGCTTCCAAATAATCCAACTCTAGCAGATTATGCGAACTTTACCAAAATGCTCCTTTACTTTCGCATGTTTCTGTTCTCCCTAGTCGCTAATCGATGTCATTGTAAGTATATTTACAAATGTCCTCTTAAGCATTCAGTGTTATCTTCTTAACAGGCAGCAGAAGACCGAGCAACAAGACTAAATACCGAAGTCCTCCGCCTGGCGGATGAGCTGCGCCAAGAACAAGAGAATTATAAGCATGCGGAGGCGTTAAGAAAACAGCTGGAAATTGAGATCCGCGAAATAACGGTGAAACTTGAGGAGGCCGAAGCATTTTCCGCCCGTGAAGGGAGACGCATGGTGCAGAAGCTTCAGGCAAGTTAAAGAGATTCAATTTTATTCTATCCCCTATCTCGCAAGTCGGTGTGGTGACATACGAGATGTTGCTGTCCAGTGCATCGCGAACTAAATTTTGGCCTCTTCGTGGTTGTATACCGTAATCTTGCGCTCGCAGAAGAGTAGATATACATGGCTAATACGGATGCATTAATGATGTTAGGTTCTGTAAATGTGTACGAATATGGTGCTACGTTCCGTGTGGACGCCAGCCAAACAAACTCCTTCTTATCTACAATTAAGGCTCGAGTTCGTGAACTGGAGGCGGAATTTGATGCTGAATCACGGCGATGCAAGGAGGCACTCGCTTCTGCCCGCAAGTTTGAACGCCAATTCCGGGAATTGCAAACACAGGCCGAAGACGACCGCCGTATGGTTCTCGAGCTTCAAGACCTATTGGATAAAACCCAGATCAAAATGAAAGGCTACAAGCGTCAACTGGAGGAAGCCGTGAGTAACAATTCTTTGCAGCATGAAAGTCGCGGTAGTATAATCTGTGACTGATAACTATAGTACACCATTTAGGTGATTGCTGTAAAGGAGTCGGTAGCTTATGTAAAATGATGTTGTACCTCTATAACGACCCCTTTATCTACTGAATAGCAAGAGGACTTGTGTGTCCTCGAATCTCATCCTGATATCCGTCGCTTTTGCTTACTAAACAGGAGGAAGTTTCTCAGCTCACAATGAACAAATATCGCAAGGCGCAACAGCAGATAGAGGAGGCCGAGCATCGCGCAGACATGGCGGAACGCACCATCACAATTAAGCGTGTCGGTGGAGGTCGTGCTGGCTCGGTCATGCGGGAGCTCTCTGTGATGTCTTCAAGAGGAGCGCGCGCGACCAGTATCATGTAAATCTCACCTATCCCAAACGACGGTTAATTTTGCACCTACCACCGACGAAGACTGCTTGCATTTTCCCCGTCCTGCTCTCTCAGTTCTGACCCTTGGTTCATCTACTCCGTTGCCAAAATTCCCTTTTCCAAGATGGCTGGCGATGTTTATCCATCTAGCTTCAAATAGTTTGTTCTTTAGGTACAATGCTTTTCGCACTGGTTCATCCTTCAAAACCCAATGATTCTTCTGCTCATACGACATTTGTGAGCTGAAGTTTCCAAACAAGCTTCTTGTGTTTATTTTTGTCTGCGGCGTTCTGCATCTGTCCAGATTAGGTAGAGATGCCCCATATTGAAAATCGTCTACTTCGCCCTCAGAACACCACATTTGCAGTATTGGTCGGCTGCGCCTTGCTGTCAGGAGTTCACTGGGCCTCCAGTCCGTTTCCCTACACATTCATGCTGAACAGTGAAATGGTTGCTGCGGTCTAGCGGACTAGCAGATGTTTCTAAAAAATATTTTCAATCGGAGCAACATCGAACTATTTGGCAAACTTGGCGACTTGTGAATTGGATGATGCCAAAATTCGGGAAGGATATCTGTGTGAAGCAACAATGCAGGTCTTTTCGCCTGATTTCAAAACTCATTGTTTACTGATGGCTGGATCATTATTTGACTATTTATGCAAACCTCTTGTCAAAACCCCTATTAAGTCATGCTCCCTTATTTCTTCATTTACTAGTCAATGGAAAACGAATTTAATTTGCTTCACCTTTTTTCTTGTAACTCACCATTTCCCCCAAATGTACTGAACACTTCTGAGATTCTCCTCACTAGACGTATTACAAATGGGACAGGTGCTTTCACCATCCCTTGTTACAAAAGATTTGATCCAACTACTTCTAAAATTACAAGTACGCAACCTTCTACCACAGCCACACCAACTAGTATCCTTATATACAACCAGAAGCGAGTACTTAAACGTTCATACTGGTTTAATATATATTTCTCTTTGAAACGTACTGGATCCATGGAGAGGTTCTAAAAACAAGCTCACAGTACAGAGGGAGCACGCAAGAACAAAGCAGATATTACCACATTGGACCCATAAAAATTAGTGTTGATATCTTGCGGCTAAAGTCTAGTAACTTCTAGGTATCGTCGTAGAGGAAGATACACTTAACGTAGCGAACAATGATCTATTGCCGGTGAAATAACAGTTGCTTGACGAGTCCCGTAGGATGGTTTGGGGTGGGGGGGGAATTTACGAACTCAAAAGATACGTGAATCGTCAGTTTAAGTGTCTATCGATTTAGATGCGCTGTCGCAAAATGATAGTGCGAACTGGGAATCGAGTGTAAGCACACAATACAATGAGTTATCACGCGCAAAATTGCAGGCGCTTCGCATGACCCATAAGATGGTTGAAGTAAAATTTAACATGGAAAGAATCAAAGGAGAAGTGAATCGTCAGTTTAAGCGTTTACCGATCAAACTGCACCGCTGCGTAACCGTCATTTAAAATGGGAATTGAATGTGACTATACAAAGTAATATGGGGAACAGTTATACGTCACGTACTCCTTGCTTCAATACTGAATACTACGAATAGCGAGCGAAAAGATAAAAAGTTGTGTTGGTCCTTCGTAGGTAGGTCGGACACATGCGCGTAATCACGTCCCTGATTCCTGCGCGGTTGTAGCAAGTTGCAACGGCACTACATCTTATCCGGGCGCGATGCGCTCCCTATATCTGTAGACCGCAGTGGGCATCAACGAATCTCTTAAATTCCGACACCAATTTCGTCTCGACTATTGTCTCAGGCAACTTGTGCCAATATTTCACCACTCGACATTCGAAGCATAGAGGGTGAGCGATGCCTTTTAAATCCGGTACCACTAGTTTGTACCGGCGTCCGCGTGTTCTGCTTGGTGCGCGAAGATGCAGTAGCGGCCTCAACATAGGGAAGTGGCCCAGGCGTAATATGCGGTGCGTCATTATGAGATAAACTCGAAGCCGATGATATGATATGTTATATATATCTAGTCTCCTACATCGGTCTTCGTACGACATACTCCATAAACTGGGGATGAGCCGGGTCGCCACATGCTGAACCCGTTCCAGTCTCTGCACCATACCTATCGTGATCGGACAATAGGCGGGTGAGCCGTACTCAAGCACCGGTCTTATCACGGAAGAGCAAAGACGGGTGACTATCAATTCGGACCAAGTGCAGAAGCTGCGTTTAAGCGGCCAAAGCAGGCGTAGTCCTTTTACGTACAGTCTGTTCGTGTTGTCGACAGACTTCAGAGCACAGCTATGTGTTAGATTAATCCAGTTTAAGTACATCCAAGCTATTCAACTGGACACCAACACATGTATCCTCACCGCCACGTTGCGGAGAGGACTGATAAGCGCATAGTTTGGTTCTCGCTATTCTGTCCTCCGAGTGAAACGCACTATAACAACCAATGTAAGTAAGAAAGCGCATTCCCAAGGCGACTTTAAAAGAGCTTTTATTTAAGGGCAGAGATGACATGGGTTGGAACGGCGTTCCATGTTCGGGACACCCGAAAGCAGAAAAACGTTTTTCGGCAATCAAGTCGACTTTATTGTGTGGCCATTTTGACTTGGTGGTCTCTCGGGAGAGTATTTTGATTCATTTGCAGCAGGTCGCGGGCGGTGTAATTTGGGTTCCTCATTATTAAGTAAGTCATGATGAGTTCACCTCGCAAAGACCGAAATTCGCCGCTGTGCTATCCAATGGCTTGTAGTCTTTGTTGATAGGAAAGATGGAACAACCCCCCAAACGAGTTGGGTCGCTCTACGTCGGGGAGCTTCAAGTGTATCAGCATAACGCTTATGTCAGGGAGGCCAAGCTTGAATCGTGTATTTCACACGTCTCACGTAGAAGCACGAAATTTGTCGAAGAACTGATAGCTCTAACATGCCGAAAGCCTTCCGTAACAGTCCGTGGTATTGATCGACACTTGTTGGGTGACGCCTGGGATACTAGTCTGTAATCAGTGACATGTAACTTTGTCAAATACGGGACAGTATAGAAGTTGGATGCGACTGAACCAAACGTGCGTTGTACAAGGTAGAAAAATGGAAAGCGAATCAACCAGAGCGAGAGGCGGTACAGCATGATAACCAAAAATTTGTGCCAACGGAATTGTCATCTGTAAAACAAGTAGACTTTTTGAAGGTTAAAACAACGGTAAAATCTAATGTCGCAAAATACTGAAAGAGTCGGTTTTCCGGTACACTACAAGGATCTCCCACTAGAAGGCTGAAGGATGGAAGTCTTCGATGGACATGTTAGTGTGGAAATACAGGAGGTTTGGATGGGTGCGAAGAGTAGCATGTGCGTGAACACGGGCTTCCAAGCTAAGGTGTGTAGCAGAGTTCGCTAGGTCCGGGCATTTGTTATTACTTATTTATGATGATCGTGTGGACTAGAGTGCATCATCGGTGGGCCGTCGCGGCCGGCTGGTTGGACTGCAAAATATTGGGTAGTCTAGCGAAAAGGCCGACAGGACATTCTCTCAGCTGCAGATCCGACGGTGCGCTGGGAGGTGTCATTTCCCCACCGCACTTTAGTCCACGGTCCTCGTCCTACGAAGAAATCCAGGCGTTCTCGTCGGCAACGCGTAGCCAGGCGTTTGAGGACTAATCCGGTCGTAGCCCTCCTTAGTCTAGATTGACTGACTGTTCCTTGGGTCAGGAAGGGGTCTTGGGTCGGCTGACGAGTCACTCGGGGGTTGCTTTGGCAGTTCCGGTTGCTTAGATTCTAGAAGCTAGAACTCAGAGGGAGTGGGCAAGGGTCGGGGAAGTGGCTTGACACCGGAGAGGGAACATTGCATGCATGATAAAAGCAAATACGTTTCCTAGGTTTTCAAAATGTTTTGGCTTTTTTGTAGATGTTGCAAAACGCTTGTGTACGACGCACGATTACCAATACAGACAAAATAGGCGCGTTAATGAAAATAGCAAACGTTTACAAAATCTGTAACATGGACCAGGCGTTTGACCTGTCTACCGCGTCGGTCCGTTGCCTGGGCTTGAGACGGGGTAGGTTGAGGGTCAAGGGGAACGGAGGGTTTCGGGGTACCCATTGTTCGAGAAGTTATGTAGGTGCGGGTGTTTGTGTGATAACCTAAGGATGGATTGCAAGTTGTTCATCAAAGAAAGCCACTTTGAGGCGGTCCATGGACACGTTCGTTCGGTGACCATTCTGGTCTAAAGTGCAATGTTTCGGAGTCTGTTGCAAGACTGAAAGGGCCAGTGTAGGGAGGCTGGAGAGGGCGCCGCACTGCGTCGATGCGGAGGAAGACGTGAGTGCAAGGAGAGAGTCCGCTGTACATTTGCTCATCCCTAGTCTGCTCATGGGGCGGAGTCGGGCCTAGTGAACGCATGCGTTGAGCTAAGGAGGGTGCAAAGTTAGACGGAGGTATATGCAACAATGCCGGAGGCGAAACGCATTCTCCAGGCAACTTGAGTGTTGTGCCGTAAACTAGTTCAGCTGGTGCATATTGCAAGTCAGCTTTGATGTTGCAGCGAATGTCTAAGAAATGTTTTCGCTCGTTAGAGTCGGAGGAGGCGCAGAGCGAGGCTTTAAGCTGTCTATGGAACCGTTCAGCTAACCCGTTGGCTGCTGGGTGATCCACTGTGACATGAATGCGGCGGCAGCCTAGAATGTCGCAGAACGTATCGACTTGTGAAGATTCGGAAGGCGTTCCTCGGTCAGCTGTAATGGTGAATGGAGATCCGTGGTGCGAGACCCACCGATCTCAAAAGACCCAGGTAACAGTCTCAGCTGTGTAGGCTGTTAAGGGAATGGCTTCTTGCCATCTGGTGAAGCGATCGACACATGTAATAATGTATACGAATCCGTAGGAAGGACGCAAGGGACCTATCAGATGTAAGGGTACATGCAAGAACCGAGAGTCCAGGGCAGGAAATGAGCCAAGAAAACTGCGAGTGCCGACGTATTTTAGAGTGCTGGCATTGAAGACAGACGCGAGCCGAGGTACGAACACTGTTGTTACGCTGCTTCTTTCCCTCTGCTCTCTGTCAGTGACAACTGTCGTATTGATTGTCTGTGACTGTCTGACTGCTCAATCACGCGCCCAGCCAACCGAAGAAATACGAAAGGCCAGAACTGGGTAGAAAGCAGGAGTATCTACAAGATGGGTTAACCCTATTTATCGGTAGAGGAAACATGCTAGTTTAGGAGGTATAGGTCACTCACTCTTCTGCGAATCATGGACCACACTGGTTACTACTTCTATTGCCATGCCTGTCTTCTGTGCTAACAACTCCTCAACCTCCAAGCACAAATCACACTGCTTTCCGTCCTTCACCTATATGTACTCATGTCTTCTTCGGTCACTGTAACAAACGACCCACGTCTCGCAACTGATGGCGGTAACAACCAAACTCGCGGTTTTCAATGTCCTGCGATCGCAACCGCCTATCATTTAACCGAAGCTCCATCTCTTTTTCGACCTGGTTCTTCATTCATCCTCGCAGCGTTTAGTGTTCGAATTTCGATGCAGATCGGACGACAAGCACGTCTGACCCGTACTCTTGAAAAGCTCTCGGTAGACATCTGTTGTCTTTCAGAGACCAGATTACAAGACTCTAGTGCCGTCATCAGAATGGCCTCTCCGGTAAACTCTGACGCCAAATACTACTTGCGGCTTTCCGGAAACCCAGAAGCTGCCGCCACTGGTCAAGCTGGTGCTGGGGTTGTACTGAGTGCCAGGGCTGAATCAGCTCTGCTTGACTGGATCCCAATCAACAGCCGACTATGTGCA